AAGGGTGTCACAGCATGCCCACTGAAACAGTTTTATGAACAAAGACTCAACAAAGTCTTACAGTGCCTAAATTTATAAAGATTCTCCTGGTGTGACTGGTGCTACAAACACCATCTACAACCATCAGGAATGCAGCTTGATCAAAAGATTCTGGCTCTATTCTTTGAAAAAAAAAATCGGGTAAAAAGTACAACATGAAATGGTTGAGATTCCAACAAAAGTGAAAATCTATTCGCACCAGCAGTAGACTCATTTATGGGTACAATTGGAAGTGCAAAACAAACATGTAGATATATGATCACCTAGAAAACACATTTTCAGTCTGAACACGTTTGTTATGAAAGCTGTTTTCTCTTGGTTGTTTTAAAAAGAAAAATCAGGTTTCGTGAGCTCACTGGACTATAATATGATAAGCACCCTGAAACCCAATCTAGGTTACGCATACACACTGGGAACGTTTTGCAGTTTTTTTTTTCTTTTTTCTTTTTTAGTTGCCTGCAACAGTCACCAGTAATCTGCCACCCGCCTTCAGTGACTTGGCATTTCCCAGCTTGTGCTTTTGGCAGGGGATAAACTGAGAGCTTTGAGAATTATGTCCCATGGTGAGTCAAGTGATTCAAAAGGGACATTAACTCCCAATTTCGGACTTCATCTCTCTGCCAGAAGAAAGACACAAACATGACAGAAAATGTCTCAGGCTCAAATAGTGGAAAATTGAAAGTGGTCTGGAGTTTAGTGTGGTTGGCAGATATTGGCGAAGCAAAAGTGATGGCTGTGATTGAGACTGTTCTTTTGAAGTAAAGCTACGAAGGCTGTCAGACCTAAATAGATTGTCTAAATTTTGAAGAAAGAAAATATCTTTTTTGGATTTTTTTCTTTTTTCTTTTTTTTTTTTTGCTTTATTGAGATTGTGAAGGCAGACAGACGTGGCTTTTTCTTAGCCTTTGAGGCTTAATATTTCTTTATATTTACTTTTATCAGTATTGAATATGAACTTTGGATGCAGTAAACCAGTATTGCTGAAATCCTGACTGCCCAAGATTACATGTACTTTATTCAGTTCTGTCAGTAAATTGTTGAAAATGAGGCGGTCTGGCAGCTTATTGAAATTGACTGTCAACAAAATATGTGCTTTGCGGTACGACGTAGATATATACAGCCATATATACAGCCTGCCATACGGTGCTTCCACACTTCCAGCAGGCCATAAGGTGGTACTTTCCACATTTCAGAATTTTCTCTTCACCTCAGCCACTCCATTACCATGAATGATACCGAGTGATTCCACAGCTGCCTGACTCTTTCTTCTATGTCTATATGTGACTCTTTCTTATTTTAACTCTTGGTGATGTATAGACAGACAATGATAAAGGTTAACTGGAGCTATGTTACATTTTTACTGGTTATGGCTCCAAGTGGTGAGATGGCTCCAATGGAGACCTGTTACGACTCATAGCAGCAACTACAATTAGAAGGGGGTCCTGTTATGGCTGTGGCTTAGGAGGTATAGCAGCTCATCTGCTAATCTTACTGACTGCTCCAGTGTGCAAGTATCCTTGGGCAAGCTATTGAACCCCAAATTGCATTCTGGTGCATCCAGTGGAGTGTGAATGCTAGATAGAAATGACTTAGATGTAGAGAAAGGGTAAATGGGGAAATGAGGCACTTTGTATAAACTGTATAAAGTGCTCAAGTAAAGTAGAAAAGCACTATGTAAGACCTTTTCCATTTATTGCTAAACTTTGTCTGATTTTCTGGGGGGGGTTTCTCTACCAAAATCTATCTCTGCCCTGCCCTTCGGGCTATCATAGGAAGGAAAAATATATGTCAATGCTTTTGCATTCTTTGGGAAATGTAGCTGGGTAATTATGTCATTGGCATCGGTGAGCCAGAATTTGCACTTGTTTTTTGCTTTCACTTTGCAGTCGCGCGAACTGTGTATTGAGAGCGACAGCACTGATTGGTGAGTGACTATCATTTACGCACCAATTCCTCTGACATCGTCTCATCAATCGATAGCTTACTATGCAAACATGACAAGTGAAATCTCCCGCAGCAAGCTTAAACATGTGAGAGGTTGATCGCGCAGAGAATCGCTGAGCGTTATGTGAGTGCCTGTGTAAAAGCAGCAGGATATATATTTTAGTTCTGCTCAGCCAAATAAGACAGGTCAGGGTGAAGAAGTGACCACAAAACGGAAAAGTTATGACAAATCAGACTATAAGGCAAAAAGAAAGTGCAGCTTTATGGTTTCATGGACAAAAGAATTCTCTGTGGCTGCAATATGATGAGCTAAATAACCAGGGCTGCACATAAGTGGTCCGCAGGTGCGCATTTGCTGTCAAAACAAAAAACGGGCACAAGATAAGAAGTTACAACGCATGTTTGCGTACGTAAGATTTTCTGGAGGAGGACAGACATTTGTTTAGAGCTCTTAAAGATGTCGAAGAAGCTCCTTTAAGCAATTACTGTGATGTTCCTCCACCTCCAAAGAAATGTCAGAAGGAGTCCGAACCACAAAAGAAGCGCGTATTCTCGGAAAAGTGGTTGCAGGAGGTGAGCTGGCTTCAAACAAATGATGAACGCACAGAGATGTGGTGCAGAATGTGCCGTGAAAATCCCACTCTAGTGGACAAAACAGTGCCTTTTAACTGGACGCAAACGCGTGTTGCAACTTCTTATCTGGTGCGCGTCTTTTATTTTGACAGCGAATGCGCACATGCGGACCACTTTTGTGCACCCGTGTAAATAACATAATGTTCTGCCGGGTGTGTTGTTGGTTTTCTCTCGATTTCTGAGTCGACAAGCCCCTTTGTTACTGGGACCAGTAATTTTAAGAAAGGCCCCCATTAGAACCCATGAGAAATGCAAGAAATGCATTATTGCTCAGTCTGCAATATCTTTCCCAGAACAAACACCGATTGCAAATAACATACTAAAAATAAACCTGAAAAATCTGTTTAGAACAGCGTACTATGTTGCAAAGAGTGAACTACCACTGGCACAATTTAGCAGTCTTTGCAAACTTCAAAAAGCAAATGGCCTCGATCTTGGTTCCACTTGCCTCTTACCAATGACTTCAGTGGAAATTTCAAATTCAGGATCTGACAAAGACTGATTCATGTCCTACACAGTTCTTACAAGTTCATAGAAATTTCTGTTCAATTAGAACCAAGTATTTGAGTTGATGATTGTAATTTTTATACAATGTTGTAATTAGTGTTTCAACAATTTTTTGATTAATGTTTTGTTTCTGTTACAATATTATACTTTAATGTATAATATTGTAAAGGAAACAAAACATCAATCAAAAAATTGCTCTCTTTTTTATTCGGGCTACTTAAATTTATTTTGGGCTACCAAAAACTGAAGAGTCCCTGCCCGAAGGGCTACCAGGGATTTTGAAATTTTGCGAGCCCTGCACCATGGTAAATATATATAAATATATAGAAACACAGTCACTGCAATTATTCACTGATAAAGTGTTTTGTGCGCTTGACTACAAAACTTTACCCGTTTTCATGAAATCCTGGCGAGAGACGTGCACCATTAATCACACTTTACCCTATGCTAACTAATATATGTCCTGTGACAATCAGCAGCCAGACTGCTAATACACCCGGAAGCACATCACTGTTCTAAATGGCATTGCTGTTCTCCAGTGTTCCTTGTGTGAAACTCCCAGTGTTGATCGCTGCTGAGCTGTTGATAGGAAAAGGTGAGGGAAGACAAAAACAGCAAGGTTGGATTTTGGGAAAAGGCTGGGTTGAGGGGGAAAAAAAGGTATGATCACATAACCTCTACATTCTGTATTGCGGCAACATCTTGCCCTGCAGGTGGGAAATCAAACACTTATGGTAAAAATAGCCTTGAGATACTGCACCACTTTTACCCCAGCATGGAAAAAACAAAATATGTGTTCATGTCACAACATATATTTAACAAAATCAATGAATGCTAATCTACCCACTATGTTAGGTTTTTATTTTATTTTATGTTTTATTTTATTTTTTTCACAAGAAGCTGTCGTAGCCACGATTTGCTAGCATTGTGCTAAACAGAAGTGTTGTTTTGTAATATATGGTCCTAAAAGAAAGCAAAATTGTTACTACTTTCAGTAAACTCTGTGGGCTAACATCCAGGAAAGTTCAAAGGTGCGTCAGTTTGGATACTTAGTAAGTAGTGCTGGTGTACTGCCACTGTTTTCGGTAGGGTAGTGAACAATTATAACTAGGCAGGCCTTTGTCCACATCTAATTTTAAAGTCCTAGTTTTTCCTGTTAGGCAGCTAGCTAGCGTTAGCGTCGCCATCAATGCTGATGTTTGTTGTTTTAAAATTTGACCGATACTCCATTGCCCGCTAAAAAAATTAACTGGAACCATTGCTACATGTAGCCACCCACACTTGTCTATGTGAACTGAAGTATGAAGTCATAACTGCAAGTCTAAGTATGGAAGTATGAGATTTGAGACAGAACACAATAAAGAAATCAGCTTTCTACTCATATTGGCTCCTGTTGTGAGAAAGAGGAAGGAAAAGCTGTCAAATTATTCTCTGACATCCTCAAAGAGGCCCATTGCAGCCCACTGGCATCTGTAAGCCCACCTTACTGGAAGGAATAAATGGTGCCGAATGACACTGAGGATGTTTGCTTTGATAATGCCAAAGCCTGTTTGTGTCTGTGTCAGGAGTCGGGCGGTTAATCCAGCCTACATTCCAGGTCCTGATATCAATGCCGTGTTTGAGAACCGTTGGGTGAGACTTGCTGTCATGCTTGAGGAGAGCAGCCGTTGCTTTACACTGTCTGCTTTCTATGAAAGGAAGGGGGTGTATGGGAAGGAGCAGGGACACATATTCTGTCGGATTTACTTTTCTATTCAGTTGCGTTGGATCAGTACCTCGTTCCAGGCCAGCACAAAAAGAGAAACCTTTCTGTATCTGTGTTGTTATCAAATCATAATTGCTTTTTTCTTCGTCTTTTTTTTCCTGTTTTTTTGCAGAATTTATGAGCGGGTGATAGACCCTCCCCAGATGGAGCTCACCCCAGGCAGTGGAGTGTGGCTTGGCCAGCATAGCCACAGGCATGGTCTGTTTAAGGTAAGACTCCACAGATAATATGCAGACTTTATGCACCTTAGCATGTTTCACATTCAACATTGCCAGGTGTAATTGGGCAGATTTACAGTAGGTTGTGTGGGGGAAGAACGCCCGCTGTAAGATGCAAGAGTAAAGTATGGAGGGCTTACAGAGGAGCTGCAAAAAGCGCAGCTTGAGCTTTTCCTCCCTTGTTTCCAAGCCCATCACAATGATGTCGATTTTTAATCTGTGCTTGTTTTCTCCAGCTTCTGCATGCATTCGCAGCAGGGAGCAGACATGGCAGGGAATCACAAGGACATGCACATTCCCTTGATATTCCTACCTCTACTGCCCACCCGTCATGCAATCAATGGGCCTTTTTTGTCTTTGTAACACTGATTAGCCAATAGGCCCTTTTGTGGTGTGATTTATGTCTCCTCTTCATGCTTTGACACTATCGCTGCTGCACATGAGCACCATTCCTTCTCCGTTTACCTCCTTCATCCCTTCTTGCATCGACACTTCAAGGAACTCCTTCTTTTAGTCAAAGACTCTGGTCTTGAAAGACAGAGCCCCATCAGGCAGTTCCCTACCTGCAGTCAGCTCGGTGCCTTCCATGTGCAGGGAGCACTAAAAAGTGTTTGTCAGCAGCCAAGACAGAGTGTGGAAGAGCGAAAGCTTGTGTGAAGAGACTGAGGGAATGAGGAAGTTCTCCCTTCAGATTGACACAAAGTTAAGATGAGAGATCGTGTCTGACAAGTGCAGTAGCTCATTGTATCAGTGACCTGCTGCTTTGTGCATGATAAAGGTTATTTAGAGCTGCACGTTTCCCCTCCTGTTCACATCATTAGTTGTTACAGGAAAAGTGACGTTCAGATGTCTGAGACCTCCAGATGCTATTCACCTTTTCTTGAAAATGTAGTGCTGTTATTTTTTATATTGCAGCTGATAATATTAGATGAACAATTCAAAACCCTGTTTTCTTTTTTGATTGCATGGAATTGACACATTCAACTCATACTGCTACAACTTTTTTTTTGTTCATGTTGTTCCAAAGAGCTTCTTATGAAGTCAAGAATCCTTAGCTTCCTGTGCTGCTCTCTTTGAACACTTCAGTGTAGCCACAATTTCACGCTTAGAAAACCCCTCTCGACTGATGACTCTTCCCCTGAATTCTTTTGCTATCTTTCCCACTATCACAGTGCTACTTAGTATGCAGCGTTTTAGCTGGAAACTTGAGGTGCAGCCATATTTTTAGCAGATGAACAATAGTTTATGTAGTTTTGTACAAGCCGGGCAGGTCAACGGAAGGCAATTCCTGTGAGGGATCCAGCTCAAAAGTGTCCTTTAGTCTGAGAGAATTAACACGGTCATTGCTGCAAATGCGTTTTGCGGTTTTAAAATAATAAAGAGATGCGTTCTTTATTTTACTGTTATTACTTATAGATGTCCAGCTGTATGATTACTTCCAGGCTTACATAGAAATGTAGGAGAATTTGGATCCTGTCTGTGAGACGCACTTGTATATTTTTCGCTGCCTGCATGCATACAGGTCACATGTTGCTCATAAAGCAACCTCTGAAATCGTAACAATGGTTTGTGTTCCAATTAGCATCCAAGGTCCTGCTAAAGGAGGCGAGTTACCTACTTACATTTAAACATTGTCTACTTCTCCTTTTCTTTTTAATTATTGTTCCTTTGATTGTGTTGTTGGAAAAGAAAATGTGGTTAAATATACCAGTTGTAAGCTGTTGTTTTTTTTATTCCCCAGTCTTTAACCCTTTAAAGCCGGTGGGAGCGGGCACGCTCCGTTTTGCGTAACTATTTTTAAATCCCGGTAGCACTACAACCACGTAAGCTAGCGCAATAATTTTTTTTGCATATGAAACCGGAGTTGTACTTACATCTTATGCCTAGGTCACAGTTTCCTTCCACGTATAGCTTTACAAAAACTGCATAAAAAGCACTTGCAGCAACAAAAAAAATAATATTCCAGAAACACGCTTTGCCGATCCGATCAGCTGTTTGTAACACTTCCTACGTCCATCAGCGAGAACTATCACATGTCCGCCATGACCTGGCCGAAACCAGAAGTGGCGTCATTTTGCGGAAACGTAGTTTTTTACCATCAGGGCCTTATGAGCCTATACTGGTTTTTTTAAAAGTTATGTTTGACTTTATGACTTTCTGTGTCGTTTCTGGGATGCTTAGGACTGCTGGAAATAGTTTATTTTGATGCATATGCTGTTATTTTGCAAATTTGCATTATAATATTTATTTTTGTTTTTCCTGCAGTATATAAAAATTGGTGTATTTCAAAAATAAAACTATGAAGACACTCAAAATAAAGATACTGTGGTAGGAAACTATTTTGTGCAACTTTTTTGTATTTACATTTTTGAGGGATAAGCCTCTTAAATTTCTCTAACTAGAAATATATGTTAAAAAAAACAAAAATGATTTTCAATTTTTGTGTAGTTTATTGCACTTTTTTTTGCAATTTATGTAATTACTATGCACTTAATGCAAACATTTTGTTAAAGATTTGGGCTATAATGGTTGTATTGATGTATAGCAACTTGAAATGCTCCCAAAAATGGCACTACAGCATGTAAAAATATAATATAAGCTCTGGCGGACTTGGTTCTATGGTAGGTCTTAAAGGGTTAATATTTATATAACTGTATTTAAAGCACAGGGACACAGCATGCCTCCAACAATACACCATTGGTACCTCTAAGTCATTGGTTTAATCTGTGCACAAAGAGAATGTAGAAAGTTTGAAAATGTGGCATTGTCCAACTTGTTTGCTATTCTCCTCACACACTCCCTATTGCTCCTTCCTTTAACCTGCTAAAGACGAGAGGATAAACTTAGGTCTCCTCATGTCTAAAGCTGAGAAGGGTTTGTTGGGAAAGGGGAGAGGAAAAAAAATAAATAAAGAGGCGAGGTGAAGGGAAGAGAAAAATAGCCAAGAGCTATAGAAGTAACACTGCAGATAGAGATAGGGGGTGAAATAAAGCAGCAGCTGTAATCTATCGCATTCAGTGTGCGGGAATGGGATAATGATAAGATGGGCTAACTAGGCCTTTAAATAAAGCATATTGAGCCCTTGCAGTAGCTTGGGATGCTCTTCATCCTCTCAACACTCCTCCTCCAGGGAACCTCTCCATCTGAGGGAGCAACTGTAATAAATTATCTTTATCTAGAATCCATTGTGCCAAGGATGCTGACTCCTCAGGGACTCCGCAAGCTCGTTTGGAACCGCTGCTTTTGTGAAACGCTCTGTTTCATGCACTACAGGACAATAATGAATCTAGTATGGACAATGATGGAAAGACTGAATGCATTACATAAGGCAGTGTGAAGTTTCAGGAGTCAACGTCTCCTTTACCTTACCTGCGTCTCACTTTGTCCTCTGTTGCCCGGTTGTTTAAATTACTTTCTTTATCTTTTCTTCACGCACCTCATCTTTTTCAGTGCATCACTCAAACATTACCATTTTATCCTTTGATATGTTCGCTCTCTTCAACCCAGTATCAGTGGTAATACAGTAATAATACAATACAGGCTGGGGTTAATTCAGCCTACTTTATAATGGAAAATGGAAAAGAAACTCTTGGGATGAATGGGAAATTTGCACATTTTGGAATAAATTTGAATTTTTTGAAGAGCTGAACTTTAAAAAATCCTCTATATTTTCCTTGTAGTTGCTCTGCATTCCCTTGTTCATAGTTTAAGAGTAGGGTTTAGGGCTTACAGATTTTTATATCAGTGTATGAATCATTTGTATTTTTTCAATACTAGTTGCTGGACAGATAAATAAGACTCTGCCATTATTCATTTCTAAAGTTTCCTTACCATAAGCGCATAAAATAAATTCTCAACTCTTAAAACACGATTCTATGTGCTTAAATTCAGGTTAACGTCCTTGATATGTCACAGAGTGTGTTTATCAGGAGGGCTCCCATTAGGTTCTAGTGCAAAATAATTTTCCATGCAATTGGACGACTTTTACAGCTAAGTAAACTTTTCAAACATCATTGTTTGAAACTGAAGCTGAAGAAATTGTGTGTGCTCACAGCATAAGAGGTTCATGTGTGTGTATGTGGGTTGTTGGGTTTTTTGCTCAAAAACAGAACAATCCACTGTTTACTTGCCTATGTGTGGCATTACAGCAGGGTGTAATGAGCTGTCTCTCAAGTCTGCATATGGGGGTCAAAGTTTTTACTGTTCCTTTATGCCCTTTTGATAGGTCGATACAAACACAGTTAATAACATTTGATGACCTTCAGACCCCGCTAGAACACGGAAATGTCATGTTGTGCATGATCAAAGGGAGGAAAAAGTACTGCTGAATAAAATCTCTTCCAGGATAATAAACGTCTGTCAGTGCTGCCTGCAGGCAAAGCTTTGGCCAACCTGGCCTTGAGGGCGTCACTGAGTGAAATAAGTATTTGATACTCTATAACCCAGCTAGAATTTTAGCTCCCACAGATTGTTTGACTGACTGATTGTAATCTCAATCAATGACAGTCAATTGCAGATCTGTATCTCAACTCCTATATAAAGCACACATGTCTACAGGATCAATTTCTTCCATTTCCACATCTTCACTACTGTAGGCAAGACCAAAGAGCTATGAAAGGTAGTCAGGGACAAGATTGTAGAGCTACACCAGGCTGGAATGGCTGTAAGACCATCAGCAAGAAGCTTGGGGAGAAAGTGACAGCTGTCAGAGGGATTATCCAGGGATGAAAGAAATGGCCACCGATTGCCCTCAGTTTACAGCTCCATGAAAGATTATGGGACAAAACTATACAGGAGGAGCGTGTTAATGATCTGAAGGCAGTTCGGACCACAGTCCCCAAGAACGCCATGTTTGGAGGAAGATAAATGCTGGGTATTACCCAAAGAACACAAACCACACAGTCAAGCATGGAGGTGGAAATATTGTACTTTGGGGCTGTTTTTCTGCTACAGAATGACTTCTAATTGAGGAGCAAGTGGACAGCGGCCATGTACTGTAAAATCTTTGAAGACAACCTCCTTCCCTCAGCCAGAACACTGAAGATGGGTCATGAATGACATGAATGACAAGCAGCAGCCAGTAAACCTAAAGGATTTAGAGAGTTTCAGTAAAAAGGAGTGGGCCAAAAATCCCTCATAAGATGTGTGCAAACCTCATGACCAACTACAAAAACCATCTTACCGCTGTGCTTGCCAAGAACTAAGTCATATTTTTCTTGCATATAAAATAGTTATTTCACTCAATGACATGCAAATCGGTTCATCACTTTTATGTAATGTGTCTTTTCTGGAGTCTTTGGTTGATATACTGGCTCTTTCTGTTTAAAATAAAACTACTATAAAAATTAGAGACTGTTCATTTCTTTGGAATTGAACAAACTTACAAATTGAGCAGGGGATCAAATAATTATTTTCTCCACTGTAATTTCATAGCAGTAATTGTTGAATAGACACATAGACACAAATACTTCCATACCTGGATGAGCACCACTTTCATCAGCCATATTCATTCCTTTTCCCCATCCTTAGTCAGAACCAAACTTTAAATCAATCCTTCCCTTGAATCCAAATCCCAAAGGCCAACCAAAGCTTAAAGGTGCCCATAGGTTGCATCACTTTGAGGAAAGCCACTGGTTTCTCAGGAATGCAGAAAACTCACGCACACACACACACACACACACACACACACACACACACACACACACACACACACACACACACACACACACACACACACAGTGTCTATGTGTGCCATCTTTAATTATTTGGGCATGCTGATCGAGCCATATACTTCTAGAAACTGGCCTTTTTTGTTTGTGCATGTTTTTAGTACATTTGTACATTTGAAATTATTTGCAAAAGCATTTAAGTTACAGGCACAGAACGAGTATGAGCTTGACCTGGGGACTCCCTGCCTTGGTTTAACAGTATTTTAGAGGACAGTTTTATACCCAAATTGAGAAATTACCCCTTTTTTAATTCAATGGACCAAATATAATTGAACAGGTGATACTTTAGAAAAATTACCAAACTTAACTGTAGTTTTTAATTGCTTTCTCTCTATAGTGAAGCACACTGACTTCAATGCGGCTGAACTGACAGTTTTCAGCTTTATTCGAAAGATGTTAATATTCACATCAGATGAACAGCGTAGGAACTCTAGTCTGTACTCAGGGCCAGACTGAAATACTAATTAAGTCCTACAGTCTGGAATCAGCTCAGGCCAGTCTTCACACATTTAAAGCAGGTCACAGGCTGAAAAAATTTTCGAGAGAGTATTTTCTTTTCTATTTTCTGTTTATTAAAATCTTTTATTCTCAATGTTACATTGTATCAAAGAAAACTCCACTGCAAATATCTATATCTCAGTGGTATCGTCTTGTTCATTAACATTGTTGATGCGATTTTGACAATGTTTTCAAGCTGAAAGCACACAGTCTGATGTGCACTCGTCTTTACCTCAGTTTTGAATCGAAATATTAATAGCGTTTGTCCTGATAAATCATGAAGGTAATTTAGTCCTAACAAACTGTTAACTCAGCCATTTAGTGAAGTGGAAAAAATTACCATCAGTGTTTAATTACTGTAGCTCTTTTCAATATGTCTGCATTTGTAATCAGTGACCAGCAGGCCATTCAGAAGCCTAGGGCATCCCAGCTGACACTGGGTAAAAGTCCATCAAGGGCTGAGACACAAACACTCATGCGCTCACTTGCGTGAATCAGGTTGCAGTCATTAGTTATTGCTAGCACGCCTGCAAACATGGGGAATTATGCCCGGACAAGAGGTCAACCGCTGTACCGCTAAGTCGCCCTCTTATTCATTTCAAATCCAATGTCCATAGATAAAAAACAGAGAAAGGTGTCACTGTCCTATACTGTATGCAGCTTAAAATACAGCTGTGTGATGCTCTCATACTGCAAGACTGAGAGTGTGGTTCACAGACACAAAGTTTGACAGTGCAACATATGTACTGTATACGTGTATGTTTTAGAGAGAGAGGGGAGTTTTTATGACCTCTGTTCAAATTGCTCACTGATCACTGACAGTGATGTGCAGTCAGAGCTGCTGTATTACACCACTGGGACAGGCATCTGTGATCTACACCTTCATTTCCATTCGATGTGACACTGACAATCTTTTCTTCACCATCCACTGCCCACACCGCCCGTATGTGTGAGAGAAAGTGTGTGTGTGTGTGTACGCACGTGTGTGTATCCTCAGTCTGTGCTGCAATCCTGTTTGCCTAGAGGCTCCCTCTCTCTTTCTGTGAAATAAAGGCAGGTGTTGCTTGCATCACAAGGCCAGACCAAATGCACTGTAAATAGATTTGACACACACAAATAGCAGAGAGGACGATGCAGATTGTGCTTGCGGTATAGAATTCTAATGTTCTTCCAGCATGTGTTATCAGGCACCGCTTCGAAGGAATGGAGAGAGTATATTACCCCCTGTGGTGCGTGTATGTGTGGGCAAACCTGCGTGTCACTAGTTCGGTTTTCCATTAGAGATGGTGCCTTTTTTCCAAGATTGTTCCTTGTGGTCATCATGAAGCCTCTATTTACCAGTCGTCCACCTCTAGAGATAGCCTGTCATTCAGAGTGATTGACAGCCAGTCTTTTAAAAGAGAGAACTTTCAGTCATAAGCCATATACTACTGCCTGTGTGTGGCTTTTACTCTAGTTCAGTTAAAACTGATGCTGTAAGTAAAGTACAAGAGTTAGTTTTTAAACAGCTGCGCTTGTGAATTCTGACCATTTCTGAAATAGTAGACACTGGTTCTTCAGCAGTCAGTTCCAAACTTCTTTTTAAATTGCTGTCTGTAGTTGAATGCTGATTCTACATAGTTTCTAACATTGCACTTTCAAACAAGAAAGCTCTCTGTCCTCTTTGATTCAGGTGTGGAATGAATCTATTGTTTCCAAGTGGAGACTTGGAAACAATAGAATGAGAATACAGACCCTTTTGTTATTAGTAAGCAGATATCTTTCCTTTCCTATAAAGTAGAAATTCTTCCTTGGTATTCTAAAGAGCTTGGAAAGAAAAGCATCTGGACTTCTCTAGGTTTCTTGAAGATGTTTCACCTCTCATCTGAGAAGCTTCTTCAGTTCTAAGAGCAATTGGTGGAGAGTCCCAGATTTTAAGCCCTGTGGGAGTGTCCCCAAGAGGGTCATGGACCCCCTATTGATCCTATTGAGCCTAATCACACGAGCAAAGGTGTGAAAATGGGTGTAGGTCACAATCAGCCAAGGTTTCAGGTGAACCATTGTGAAACCTAGGCTACGTCCACACTAGCCCGGATAGATTTGAAAACGGCGTTTTCGTCTGAAAACGCTTCGCATCCACACTAGCATTTTCAGTCTTTTTCACAGAGTTGTGCGCCCACAAAACGGCCAAAAACACTCACGTTCCAGTTCTGCACATGTGCAAAAGCGAGTGAGACTTAAGAATTTGAAGAAAAGCTATCTGGAGCATGTACAAACAGATATTAATCTTTTTTAGGGCTGTCAAAAGTGAGAGCAATCAAAACAACTTCTGTATAATGCCCTCCGCTATCTTTGTTTAATTGGTCACATGACTGCATCACATGCGTCATCGTTTTAGAAAGTCTGCGTTTTCGAGTGACCACACTGCTATGGGACAGCTCCGTTTTGAAATGTATGGGTTTGTGAGAGCGTTTTCAAAACGCTGCTTTTTTCCTCAGGGAAAACGCAGTCTCATTGTGGACGTAGCCCTAGTTCAACATTTATTAGACTCTGAGTCACAATATTGGTGAATCTGTAAAGAGTATTTGTGAGTTTGCAGCAGATCATCTCTCATTTCTCAGGTATAGTCTCACTTTTCAAAATTATATTAAACAATCTTGTGAAAAAGTCCATCGCCCTTTTCCTAGACATCTTCATCCTGATCATAGCCCTCATGTCCTGATTACTGATCCTTCATCAGGTCCTCAAAGTAGTCCTTCCATCTTCTCAGCACACTCTCTTCACTTATTAACACATCATCTCTTCATCTCTGTCCTTAATCACCTTAATCTGGTGCATATCCTTTCCAGCTCAATTTCTCTGCCTAGCCAACTGATGTTCATGAGCCGCATGTGTGAGCTTTGAGTGAAAAGTCTAAATAACTGACAGTTTTAAATGGATTTATTTTATTTATTGACCAAATTTACTTTTTTTTCTTTTTGTTTGTTTTTAGTAGTAATTGACGATAGTGAATATCAAACATGTATCTGCTAAACAGCAGTACTTTTTTTCTTTGTGAGCACATTAATGTGCTCAAATGGGATCCATTATGGTCTTCCTCATTTTCTATCGCACATGTGTCATCATAATGGTGAATGATGTCTGAAATGAAGAAGTCAGTGTATGAGCAAGCTATCTAGGAGTCAGAAGCTGAAGCGTTTTACTGCTTTAGGTGCTCTGTTTCAGACCATTTTTTCAACTCTTGGGTCTGTATGGTGTCAGTAGTGTCCTTATATGGTCGTCTCAGGCACGCCGCTCTAGCCATGAGCAAAGAAGCCACACCCACCTGCTGTTTAAATCTCCTGTACCGGGATTTGCCAAAGGCTGTGTTTAAACTGTTGTAAATAACTTGTTGGCCTGTAATCTGTGAAACATATGTCAAACCCATCTCCCTTGAATGATGAAAAGTCATTCTAAGCCACAATCAACATTCCTGTCACAAGGGTAGAATGACTCTGTTTACCAATATTTCACATAAAAAAACACACAGAAACATTAATTTTGACACAACACTGGCAGCTAAGCAGAAGATAGCTGGGAGGGGAAGAGGGCTATAGGGGCATGTTTCATACAGTGACGGGGTTTGCATTAAGGCCCACTGATAATTAGAGTTTATTTCTAAGTCTAAATCGTGAAAGCTACACTAGTCAAGCCCAAGAGTGTGATTGTGGAGATAGAAATGAATATGTCTTTATTTATATTGTCTCCTTTTCTCTTTTCACTTCACCCTCCCTCTCTGTTGCCAGGGCATTATTCAGGATGTGAAGCTGATTTTTGCTCCCAACGGCTACATCACACAGTGTCCAAACCTTAACCGTAGTAAGTACCGTGATTAAATTCATGCATAGTATTGAGTATTAACAACATGATAGAAAAAAAAACTTTAGTTTTATTAGTGTGTGCTATTGTCAGCTGGTGGTCACCTCTATGGAAAGCTTTGAAAGGCTCTGTCTCCTCGGGTAAAACCTCTCTCCATTTTTGTCTCCTTCCTCTGCTCTGGCAACGTGGCTTTATTGTGCTGTATATCAGATTCAGTGCAGCCTCTCTCTTTGGCTCCTCCATCTGTTTACTGTCAAAAAACAGATTAAGATACAGGGCCACCGCTGCACTACTGTCTCTGTCACTTGATCAATAAGGCAATCACACCTGGGTGCTTTATTGCTGATACTAACAACAGGCTCAATCCTAAGACAAAGAGTCTACAGCTATGTAAAGCTTCCCTTTTGTTTACTGTTGGGTGAGCTGTGGCCAAATAAATGTAGTCATTCTAATGACTTCTGTCTTCTCCTCTGTTAATCTCCTATTTAAATGCTTTCCTGTTGCTTTTCTTTTCTTTGTCTCTTCTTTGTTTTGGTGCTTGCTGTTCATCCCTTGAGCCTGTCCCACCTGCAGTGATTTTCTGAGCCTGGTGCAAGGCATCATGGACCTTCAGGAACTACTGGCTAAGATGACCTTGAAGGTAAGAGCAAAGAATAACCTCCCACGCAGAAAACTGCTATAACTGAGTCACAAGAGAATTAGAACCCTAGGAGAATGTACAGTATGGTGTACCACCACAGTAAAGGGAGGTTTTTCAGATAAAAGAAACAGCCAATTTGCAAAATGCTGGCAACCATGTCTTAAAGGCTTAAATAAGGTACCAACTAATACCTTTTTCAAGTTGCAATCTGACATGTAAATAAAAAATAAATGAAAATGAATAAATAACTTCCTTCTTCAGTGCAGCTGGAGAAATCCAGCCCCTTTGATTTTGTTGCCGCTTCCACTGAAGCACATTGTTCTGTCTCTTCTGAAGTCAGCGTCTCGTTTTTGTTTAATTTCAACAACACGGTGCCCAGTAAAGAATAAGTTATTGTTAGGGAAAAAAAAAAGAAACCATAATCTGTCTTTAGAAAATATGATTATTCTGCCTCTTATTATTGTGAGCATGAATCAAAGTAGTTTTTAAAAAGAAAAATACAAAAGATAATAACGTGCACGGGAAGGGAAACAGAAAACAGACAGTTACTTTGTCCCAAATGGTCGTTCTGTTTTTACAGTTTTCACTTTGAATACAATTACTCCACAACAATAGAAATAAATGTGAATGCACCCACTTTGTTAAAGCTCCTTGGTCATGCAAATTACTTGTTTATAGAGTAAAAACGTTGATGGTAAACCTCATAGGGACAAAGTTAATCCCACTTATCAAATGTTCAGCGTCTAAACAAAATTTAGATTTGGTCAAAAAAATGACAGTGAAGTGTCTATAAAATGTGCACCTTTAAAAGAGAAACCAGCAAAGTCATCAAATACCTAACCCAGATCTTTCTTGTTATGCTTAGCACCACATGACCATGCCACCAAGTTTATGAATACAATATCTTGAGAACAAGGTGCTGTAGGATTTTCAAACTGATGCCATTAGTGCATCTCCTAAAATCTCTGACATGTTCAAATGTTGGTCACGTTTTTTGAAAATCTTATGAACACGATAAATCGAGAAAGATGTCACCTAGGATTTTCAAATTTATACCATACGAGTTTCAGTCTCAAAATCATCAGAGGTCAACTTTTCTGAAAATCACCTAGTATTATCAAATAATACCACAGGTGAATCTGCTTGGAGGCTGAGGGCAGCAGCACTGGCAGTGTTTTTTGACCAGTAGCAATCATTGGAAGCTATGAGATTATGATTTTGATAATGATCTTTATTTATTGCTTTCCAATGTACTGTTCTTTCTCTTGGTGTTTTACACCCTGGACAAAGGCCTCACACTATGCCACACCTTTACTGTTTTCAGTAGTAGCTAACTGTTTAAGCAGTATAAAGGTTTTCTATTAGGTTTGATATTAGGTTTTTCACACACATAACGGACATGCGAACCAGGGTTCATAAAGGTGTCATGAAATGATGACTGCACTGGTACAATCAGAGGTTACCAGGCAGCATGCATTCAAGCTTAGAGCCAAATTATTATTATTATTAACCTTTATTTAACCAGGAAAAGTCCCATTGAGATTTAAAAACCTCTTTTTCAAGGGAGTCCTGGCCAAGAGGCGACAACATGTTGAAATTACAAAGTTAAATTACAAAGCATGACCCATTTCTAAGACTGAACATCTGCATAAATGAATGCATATGAACGTGTGCTTGTGTGTGCGTGCGCACTGCATGAGTGCGTGCGCACTGCATGAGTGCGTGCGCACTGCATGAGTGCGTGCGCACTGCATGAGTGAGTGATATAAGGTGAGAGTGGATGAAACAAAGACATCTTGGTGGGTGGTTGAGCTGTAGAGTCATTTTCGGCGTAAATAAGGATGAGATGAAGAACATTACCCCACCGGTACCTCCTACTTCACATGAGTGCAGCCTAACCTATTGCCACGTGACCTCACTGCACGTACAAGCCGCAGCAGGGAGAATGCAGTCATCTCCACGGCTAAATGGCTGTCTGCCTCTGTGATGTGGAAAATAGAGGAATTCAGCATGAGGTGAATAATTGCTTGGTCCTGAGCGTGTGACGTGGAGTGTCAAGGTGGGGTGAGATGACAACGCATTTGCATGCATTACACCCGAGATGGAGCCCGAGGATGTCTTTGTGCCAAAAAGTATACTAGACAAAGCTCAGGACCTTTGTTTCATGATACCACAGCATGCAGTATCAGTATTGATCCAGTTTTGTTTCCCCATATTTAAAATTTTGATTCGCTCGAGTTACTAAAAAGGAAGAAAAAAAACATGATGTTTACTCGGATACATCCAAACTAACGTTTGGTATTCACCCATGTATGTCATTTCAGTTCTTGAAGTCAGCAGATATTAGACGTCTCTGAATTTTGGGTTGAGTTTTCAAAGATATTTCTTATTTTGTGGAGCAGCATATATATGTTCTTTATTTTATTTATCATAAAGCATCATGAATGAACCATTCAAGCTAAGATAAATATTCCCTTTAAAACATTTGCTCACATAGAAATAGTGAAAAGTTGACTGCTTGAAGTTGCTTGGGCATTACCGCAGGGCCAGCTTCAAAGCTTCACAGAGGCAAAAACCAAATGATGATAATAATATTAATAGGTAACATTTTATAATATGGGCCGTGACTAAGGGAGCAATTGCCCTGTAATTAAAATAAATTTAAGTACATTTTTATTGAAATTACAATGTAGTTATACTTTCATAATACAAATCTATTTGAATATGTTTATTTATATATCTACAAATACTTAAAGGTAAGCATACTAGAATAAGGAGTATTGAGTCAGGTTTTTACTGAAATAATTATACTGTAAGTAAACTGAAGTATATGTAAGTAATTTTACATAGTGCATAAGTAAATTTAAGTATTGCATAACATCAGGTATTTTAAAGAAAAGGAGACAGATTATTCTGTAAGTAGGTACTTTGTTGTAAGTACTATCTAAGTAACTTTAAGTTGTGCATATGTAATGTATTTTACAGGAAAGAAGAAATAATTACATTGTAAGTTAATTTAATTAGTGTATAAGTACCATTAAATAATAACTATTGCTATAAATATCACTACTAATATTGGTATTAGTAAGCGTAACCCAGCGGTCTGATCCTCCAGTTTTAGAAGGTTAAATCCAAAGGATAAGTATTTTTGAATATAAATTTCTATAATATATACATGTTCTCTCAGTGTTCTCTCTGTTTACTTCGGCTTCCTCCCACAGTCCAAAGACATCCACGGAGTTAATTGGCAGAATAGAATGGCTTTACTATTAATATGAATAATGATCTATGGAAACCCAAAATACAATTCATTAATTCCTTCCTAATTCACTAAAATGTGCAGATGAGCCCTTTTGCAAATTAAATACCAGCTTAATGTGGTGAAAATCTTCTATATTAACCTCTGCAAACTGTTTTTTTTTTCTGTCACTACTGTAATCCCAAGTGCTAAAGCATTACCATCACTTGAATTATAGATGCACTGATGCATTGAGTTTCAAACCAAATCCCAATGTGTGTTTGTTTCATTGTTCCAACTAAAATATGATAAGCGCTTAACGACAGACAATTCAGATCTTGATTACAAACAAAATTTAATTAAATGTTCATTCGCCCAAGACTCACTGGTCCCCAGAATATGATAAGATTGAACTTTTACGTGCTTGACATATCTGTCAGACAAGCAGGAACGGCAACAAGTGATGAATGACGTAAATATCATAATGTGAGGCTTCTGGTGTGTCGACTTTGTGTTTAGCTGGGACTTCACACCTCTCTCAGGCTGTTGTATCCACCATAGGAGATCCATGCCTGTTAACCTGTGACTTCTTTATGCATCGTCACGGCGCCATTTGATGCTCACACTGTACAGGAAAGGTATTCCTCTGTGGTGCCTCAAGGCAGCCTCCGAGCCTTTGAAATTGCTTTTCAAACATTTTGTTTTTGGGCTTTGACAGGACATATCTCTACTATTCATAACTCGCACAGCATTCCAGCAGCCAGCCGAGACTTCTCTAAATGAAGTAAAAGGCCTCTGTGACATCCAGCATTTTTTCTTTTTTCCTGAAAAGCGTCTATCATTTCCCAGCTACTCCTGTCTTTTTGACTCTGAGACCTGGGCAGCTCTCAGAGGAGCGAAGTGGTGGAAAGGCAGGGTTGCAAACCGTCTAAGTAGACCTTATAATTTCTGAGTGGTCAGATCAGTTGGAGTTTTCAGATTTCTCCAGCTTCCCATCTATGAAACAGAACTCAGATTTTGTGTGTGTGCGTGTGTATATTTTGTATTTTTTAGGCACATGTAATATACACATAAACCCAACAAATTTTCAAATGATAACTTGAGGATAGTGGGTTAATGTACAGGTAATCCCAAGCCAAAAAATCAAAAATCTAGGCTAACTGAGTGGAATAAAATATCTCAAAGAGAAAAGAAATCTGATTTTGGTCTACTCCAACCCGTGTGCCACACAGTTGTCAGTCAAAGATGCTTCACTTGTGTTGAGAGACAGCTGTGAGGAGTGTCAAGCAGGAAATAAGCTGAGGAAGAAGGGGCTGATCAGTGTGTAGGAATATAAGAAGGGTGAGGTGGGATCGAAGCTGTTAGTCCTGTCATTTCTCAGTAGATTATAGCCTAAGGTCTCAAGCATGAGCTGAATGATGATGACTTATTATTCTATGTGCCCTACTAATGAGTGGCTCCCGGCGGAGCACCTCGCGGTGAAAACCATCCAGGGCATGCCAGGGGGATTATGGGGAGGGGATGAGGGGTAAAACCAGCATGCGCACTTAGACTTCTGATTTCATTTTGTGACTCTGGCGATTCTGTGTACAGCTGAACTATGCTGAGTCTAGGCTGACCCAGCTGGAAGGATGTCATTGCGAGAGGACCTGCAGTGCCAACGGTCTGGTCTACCGGGATAAGGAGCTGTGGGTAGAACCTGAGAACTGCAGGAACTGTGCATGCAAGGTGAGTGCCAACCTCATCCTCAAAGACTGAGACCTTGGCTTTTGGTTATCTACTTTCAATTATCACACCCTAAAAACCTCCTTATCAAACACTTTAATCTCACACTGGTGACACATAATAGTGCAGCAGCATCTTACGGTCCTTTTTCTCTCTTTAATGCAGTCTTTCCAGCCACCATACCTGCCACTTAGCTCTCTTAACTTGCCTTCCCATCAGACCTCCTATTCACCCAGCCCGAGCATCATCTCTCTCTGCCTCCTGCCCGCCTCCTAATAAGTGCCCCCTAATCAGCCTGACTGCCTGCACTCATACATAGGAGCCAGATTTTAAAATGCAGTGAATCAGGCCATCGCTGGCCTGGGAGAATTAGACTTGCTGCATCATTGCACATCAAGCACAGGGTGAAGTTTTGTCAGTCTGGTTTCCTCCCATGGACATGCCATTAACTGATAACCAGGGTGTCCCAGGGAATCATTTCAGATGACTCTTGAAATGAAGAGGCGATGGCAGAGAGCGAGGTATCAGTCTCAAAAATTAAGACAGTCCTTCAGAACCTCGACTGTCATCAGGCTACCCTCATTCAGTCTCTACTGTGTGAATAATCTGTTTTCAGATTACATGGCGTCATCGTTTGTTCATTATTCTTAAATAGCACAGCTGTCAGTTTAAGAGTAGTTCTAAATATAATGTTATGAATACCGGTAGTTTGAACACGTCGCGAAGAGCTCTTTAAACCTTAGCTAAGGTTAAAAAGGTGCTCTATAGGTGCAAATAAGGTGTAATCAACAACTTTCAACTACTGCAAACCTTAGTGGATAAAAACATGTATCACACTATATGTGTTACAGATTTAGTGGTAAAAAAAAAAAGTCCCCAACCCCCAAGCTAAAGATTTAAAATGACATAAATACTTAAGCAAATGTATCCTATATTGAGACACAGAAGGGAGGAGACATACATTCAAAGTGAATTTTACAGCAGTGCCATAGGCAAGACCCTTATGTTCACACCGAGCTTTGGATTTTTTCTTGTAATGTTTGTTTTTATTCATTTAAAACAAAAGAATATCGCCTGCTCTTACAGAACGGTGTGGTCGAGTGTCGCAGGATTTTCTGTCCTCTGGCAAACTGCTCAGAAGACTTGTTGCCTGTACATGTGGATGGAAATTGCTGCAAGACATGCAGACGTAAGTATAATGAGTAAGAACCAAGCCCGTGAACAGAAGTTAATTTTTCTGTTCATTTTGTAGTCACTATGACCCAAAATGAGTGACTACGACTCAGGAACAAAGTGTTTACAGAGGTCGAGAAAAAGAGCCATTTTTACATAGACATGTTAATTGGGTTCAAAATTAGGAAAAACTTGGCGTGATGCCCTGTATCTGCCACCTCGTTTAGGCTATAAGTGGCTGAGAAGTGCCTGATTTGCTTTGTTCATTTGTCACTTTTTGGAATGAGCTCTTCTTAGCTTGCTATCTTATGCTTTCGACACCATCTACACCATTACTTTTGAAGTGCCAAAGCAAGAGAAGATTTCTGGTGTTGCCTTTTTGCAGCAGTGTAACAATGTCACATTGTTCCTTTTCTTTGCTAGAGAGAGACAGCAATTGGCACAGCCACAAAATATAGCTTTTAGGTTAGATAAACTAGTGTTGTGTCTTAAAAAAATCCCCTTATTGACTCACTATTCACTGTAATGGATAGCTAAAGACTGACTCAGTAATAAGGGGCTAAATTTGAAAACCAATTGTTGCCTACTGGTCGCTTCAGTATCAGGCTGTGATGCGGATGCACTTGTAGCTATGGACTTTGTTAAGTTGCTTTTTCATGCTTTTTTGTTTTTTTACCAAAAGCTTTGGTGCTTGCTTCTAATAAGCAATTTTGTAGCCATGATTGAAAGCAGCAAGGATTGCTGCAGGTCTCTTTGAAAATATGATGTATTCACAGTGTTTACTTGGTCCAACCAACAACACAAACCTCGAAATTAGCAAAATCAGCTAAAGCAAAGCAGGAACTTTGTACATCTAAACCAGGGGTAGGGAACTCCAGGCCTCGAGAGCCGGTGTCCTGCAGGTTTTAGATATCACTCTGGGTCAACACACCTAAATCTCACCCTTATCTTCCCTGCTTCGCCTCTATGTTCTTGTCTTGTCTTGTGTGAATTTACTTTCCCTGGAACAGTCTCTCACTGTCGTTCTCTAAACCTAAAAGAGAATTATGGATTTGATCAACTGGTCTCTGAGTGCTATTGACACCCTTTTCTCAACGAGAAGTCGGGGCTCGGGAGAGCCTGAGTGCCCTGGAGGGACTTTCCCTGCCGGTTACATGATGGACGGGTGGCAGAACTGGAGGACCGTGTGCCTGGCGGGACTGTCGATCGAGGACGCTGAAGATATCTACCTATTCGGAACCATGATAACAGGGTTCATGCTGATCGGCGTTGGCTTAGCCCTGGTTTATCAGAGAAATAAGAAAGCGGAACCGGCTGTTCAAACCCCCACAAGGCTGCCCGCTGGATTCGAAGCGACGGGACGAGGTGCGACCTCTCACAACGAACGTAATATGGTCAACACCTTGGAGACGCTTACAGCTGCTGTGAAGGCTCAAAACAACACCATTGAGCGTATGAGGGGAAACATCAGAGAGAGGCCTGCTCAAAATGAGACCCTTGAGCGACAGTTGGAAAACATCGCGGAACGGATCACTGCAGTTGTGAGGTCTCAGAATCAAAAGACTGACAACACCACGGAACAGAAGTTTGATACCATCATGGGGAGGCTCGCAGCTCTTCAACGGGAGATCGAGAGACCAGCCTCAGAGTGCTAGAATTCGAGCTGCTCACAAAGGAGAAATCAACAATATTCAACATTTGGACACCACGGCCCCAGCTGCAGGCCCAAGGCTGGAGCCCACCAAAACAACTCCCTGATAACGACTGTGTGATGACTATTCTTCCCGCCCCATGAAGGACACCTGGATTGGCTGGAGGACTGTTTACTTAGCCTGACAGGCCGAAGGACACTGTCTCAGCTAAACTATGGACACGCACACACACACACTTACACTGATAAGCACTCACTCATCCCCCTCCCTTTCCAACGCCTTCGATGCTTGTGCCCTACCGGGGATGATAGCAGTCAACTGGACCAGCACAGATGCTGCAGGACCGGATGCGCTGTCTACGCCGGCTCTCTCTTACCCTTTACCCGCCCCTGTTGCTTGTCTCGTGTTTCTATGGTGTATTGATAGTCATGTGCTTTTGTGCTGAGGTGTTTTTTCTTTTATCAAACTGTTCTCCCACTAGCAGCTCAGTCTGAGTGGAGTTTTTTTTCTCCTCCTCTTACCTCATGTAGTGTATTTTCGTTGTTTTTTTCCTATCAGCCTACCTTCTGACATGTCTGCCCAATGTGATGTTTGTGTAAAGTTGGTCAGAAGGTTCCTTTGTGAGTGCGCATGCGCCATTAGCGTGCTGCCTGCTGTAACCCCTAATTTCCCTCGGGATGAATAAAGTATTCTGATTCTGATTCTGATAAATCAAATGATTAGTTCATTACCAGGCCTCTGGAGAAGTTCAAGACATGTTGAGCAGGTAATTAAGCCATTTAAATCAGCTGTGTTGGATCAAGGACACATCTAAAACCTGCAGGACACCGGCTCTCAAGGCCTGGAGTTCCCTACCCCAGATCTAACCAGATAGATACAGTAGGTGCAACTTTTGTTTTTTTTAATGTGTTAGGCTGGGCTGTTGTTTCTGGGCAATGTTCTTCTGACACAGTGAAATCAGAGTAAGCTATGGGCCGAGAGCGAAGATCACAGTCATCTGATTTTTATGGAAGCTGAAATAGAATCACTGTAAAAAGCACACAGGGGTCTGCTTACTGCTCAGAGACAACTGTCTTCTTACTATACTGCAAAAACACTGAATCCCCAAAGTACAGACAGCCTTTGAATAATTTCAGCCTCCTCTGCTTCTCCCTCCATTCACTCCTTCCTCGTCTTCCTCCCCTGTGAACATCAGAGCTCTGGCACAAACGAATGATGGAGCGGCGCTCCGGAGCTGCGACTGAGTGCTCCACAGTCCTGCACCCCGGAGAGGAGAAAAAGCAGGACTTCATATCATATGCTTCACTTTCTATTTCTGCTTTATCACCAGAGGAATATGCAGAAGAGACTTCCTCTGTTGTATTCTTAATGCGCTGTTACAGTTCCTTTCCGCTTGTGCACACTAGCCAAGAACAACTTTGTTTCAGATGGAATTAACTATGCAAAACTTCAGCCTGGAAACTTTTTTTTTTGTAGGCAACCTCCAGTTCTCAGTGTTAGCTGAAGAATTTATTCAATTTCTGGTATTTCATAGTTTTTGTGCTTACCCAAACAAAGTGATATAGAAATTGTCTTGTCTTGTTGTTCATTTATTTATTTTTTTTGCCTGCAGCAAAATGTACCTACATGGAACAGACATTTTCTGAGGGACAGCGGTTTTTGTCCAGGAGCTGCCGGGAATGCAAGGTAACTCGTCTTTTATGTTTCCATCCTCTCCCCAGCGTTTAGTCTTTATCGTGCAACCACCAGACAACGCCTCTTTGGAACTTGAACATGCAGTGCTCATGTGTGCGGTGGACTGCTCGGTGTGTTATTCAATTAACCAGCAGGCCTTATTAGTTTTCCCACCCTCCTGCAATCTGTTCAATCTGCCTTTTTTTTCCCCCACCGCTCTAATGGCGAGATAGCCAGGTAATTAGAATAACTTATGAACACGGCAACACAAAGGCCTGATTTGAATCAGAGCTTCATCATTGCGTAGATTATAATTGAACTCATTATTCCAGTTCAGCATAGAACAGAGGTGGGCTTTCTCCACTGAGAAGCCATTTATCTTTAAAGGCACTATTTTAAGGAGAAAATTAGCGTTTTATGCATATAATTGCTTACAAAGACCCAGACATCTGGATTCCTGGACTCTTTATTAGCCCTTAGAGACCCTGAAACATCATTAAACAACAAATGTTTGTTTCAAGCAATTACAATCATATTTACTCCTGGACGTAAGATCTGCTAAAAGTCCAATTTGGGCATATTATATTTAAAGGGGGGTTAAAAATGTGTTGTTTTTTTAGCCCTCTTGGCACAAAGACAGCCTGATAGTTTTAATGTGTGTAAGTCAATATGTGCATTTTTTTTTTTCTTTTGTGGTGACATGTCAGATTTAGCATTGATCTGATCTGATCCTTCTTCAGATTTTTGCTCTGGCCTCTCACCCTGGGAGGGGGAGAATGGGGGAAAAGCAATGACATATCTGTATGTGTGTCATACAACATGAGGCAGAAACACAAAAAGAAAGAGAAAAGAAGGAAAGAGAGGACCACTCTAGGCCAAATTATGAAGTATTAAGATGCGTGACATTAGTCATTCTGCTCGGCAGCTTCAAACCATTAGTGTTCATTTAAAACTCTGTTAGTGCGTTCACATGTTTAAGTCCACTGACTACAAATCCTGTGTGTTTGATCACTTGCCAAAAGCATGTCATCACTTTTTACTTTGATTAACGACCTCTGAGCCAGCCACTGCTTTCAACTGAAAGCTAGGTCACCTCTAGGGGTGATTAACTCTTAGGGACTCTAAATAAAATTGTCACTGACAAAAACAGAGAATTTCCATTTCTTTAGTATTCACTGATCCAGCATACAGCAGAAGCCTTTAACTTGAAAATCACACGTTCAACATAAGTAACTTTTTTTTAATCTCTTTATATTACTTCTGGCTTATTTCAGTACTGATCATTTTAGTTTACCTCAACTTTATTTTATTTATTTTTTTTTTTTACACAATTTAAATCCAAAACATCAGCTTTCAGGATCCGAGTTACTTGCCCTACACAACCTGTCACTCCTCCAGCCTCTACAGTCTTATAAACGGTGTGTCTGGAAAGTATTCCCAGTCTACATTTTGTGTTTTTGTTATTTTATTCCAAAATGTATTAAATACATTTTTAAAAATTCTTTTTTCACCTCAAAATTCTACACATAATACCGCACAATGACAAGGTGAAACAACTGAATAAAATAATGGCGATAATAAAACATGTACACACAAAATTGAGCTCAGGTGCATCCTGTTTCCACTGATCATCTGTTAGATGTTTCTGCACGTGACTGGAGTCCAGCTGCACTCAAAAAAATGAAATTGGGTGGTTATTAAATTTACAAAATTCAAACTAGTACAATCTAGTAAGAGTGGTTAGTTGCCTGGATTCACAAAATTCACAAGATCACACAAGAGTTCAAACCACAGGAAAATCACTGGGGTTAGAAGAGAAAGATAACCCTAAACACACTACGTATATGCCTTATTGTGGTTTAACCTGTAAAGGACAAAAACGTACAGAAAATTCTATATAAAGCCTTGTAATCATAGTTTCCCTATTTTTTTGAAGTCTAGATTGACAGCTCGGTGGCACAGGGTTAGCACTGTTACCTCGCAGCAAGAAGGTCTTGGGTTCAAATGGTGAATTCAGTTGACTGAGGATTTGAGGATTGTATTGAGGTACAGATCTGGGGCACGGTACAGAAACATTTCTGCAGCATTGTAAGTCCCAATGAGCAGAGCGGCCTCTGTCATCTCTAAATGGAAGAAGTTTGGAACCACCAGGACTCTTCCTAGAGCTTGCAGTCAAGCTAATCCGATTGATTAGGGTAGAAGGGCCTTACTCAGGGAGGCGACCAAGAACCTGATGGTCACTTTGACAGAGCTCCAGCTTTGCTCTTGGAAAAGAGCACCTTCCAGAAGGACAACTATTTCGGCAGCACTCCACCAGCTTGGCCTGTATGGTAGAGCGGGCAAACCCATACAGTGAAGCATGTTGGTGGCAGGATTATGCTGTGGAGATGTTTTTTGGGATGCAGGAACTTGGAGTCTAGTCAGGGTCGAGGGTAAGATGAATGCAGCAATGTAAAGATATATCCTTGATGTTCATCCTTGGTGCTCCAGAGCACTCTAGACCTCGGACTGGGGCGAAGGTTCATCTTCCAACAAAACAACAACCCCAAACACACAGCCGACATAATAAAGGAGGTTCTTCAGGACCACTCTGTGAATGTCCTTGAGTGATCGAGCCAGAACCCAGACTTCAAAATGATTGAACATCTTTGGAGAGATCTGAAAATGGCTTAAAATTATTCTCCATCCAACCTGAAGGAGGCTGAGAAGTTCTGCAAAGAAAAATTTGAGAAAATACCAAAAATATATGTGCAAAGCTTGTAGCATCATACACAAAATTATTTCAGGCTGTATTCCTGCCAAAGGTGCTTCAACAAAGTATTGAGTAAATACTGTGAAGACTAATACTGACTGATGAATTATACTGCACTGTGCACAGGCTTGGTGTTGCTGAGCTCATCATAGCTGTCGATGGCACCAAACAATGCCAGTATTCAAAGAATTGATTTGACAACCATTAACATATAGTTGCATGTTAAAAATAATAGAGTAAAAAGTGCTTTTCAAAAATAAAGTACGTGGTTTTAAGGTTTTCGGCATTTATTGGTATTTTCTGAGATTTTGCAGATTGGGCGAACAGACTAAGCTTAAGCCAAACTGGTAATTTTATTAATTAGTGATGAATATATTCATTTATTTGACAGATGGCAACACTGTAACAGTTAGATATGTAATCGTTTTATGAAGCTAGCTAAAATATTACCATATATATATTTATTTCCACCCTGGTCACACACAGAGCAACATTATAATTAATTTTCAAGTTTTAAAGTCTAATATTCATTTTATTTCCATGGTTCCTTTGGCTCCTTCAGAGACAAATGATCTATTTGGCTCATTTAGGCTTTTCCTCATTCAAATGTTTTTATGTGTCTACTGTTTGAGTCAGTAGTGCAGAAATAGTGCAGCTTTAATAAATTAAAAATTAACTGAAATACAGAATACATTTTTAGAAAAAAAGCACGATCAGATGGAGAGACAGAGGTTCACCAAGAAACTGGGCTATTTACAGATGACATGAGAAAGCAGTTAAAATGGTTCCTACTTCCTACAAAGGGACGACATTGAGGAAAGACGTGAAATATTAATATATATAATTTACTCAATACCCAGTATGGCCTTTCAAAAACAGCTGATTTAAGTGTTTAAAGTCAGGAAATGGGACTGATAAGAAAAAAATTGGTTGAAGAAGCAGTCCTGTGGATGAGAGGTTGCAGTTTTAAATATTATAAGAGATCAGATTGTATAACTGGTGGAAAACTGATTCTCTCTTAATGCATAGCCCTTCACACATCTGACCCCATCTCTGAAATCACGATGTCTTGCCTGTGTCCTGTCCTTCCAGAATGGCCTGATGGTGAAAGTCACAGAGACCTGTCCAGATCTAAACTGCACCCTCAGTGAACAGATCTTACCAGATGGCAGATGCTGCAATGTTTGCAGAGGTACATGTTTCTTTCCACTTCCCACTGCACTTTTCTCAGTTGTATGGATTACTTTTTTTTTCTTCTTCTTCTTTCTTTTTTTTGCATGTACACACACCGGTACTGTGTCGCTGTGAGGAGTAAACACAGCCATCTTCCCAATGCTGATTCAGGCTGTGCCTCTGCAATAATTTAGTCTCTCTCCCTTGTCATCCACTGTGAATGCTTTTTGGCCCGTGTACCTTTCAGAGCAGATTGGTCTTTCTGCCATAGAGCACCTGCTATGCCTATTTACCTGAACCCCATTGCTTTGGCAGGGAAATGCTACGGGGTAAATAGCCACTGGTAATTCAGTAAATACATTGAATAAACAAACTACAGGAGGCTGCCATCTATAGAGACATAATGAAAGAATCCCTGGGGCAGGTTCTGAGTGAAGGAAATTGCGCTCTTGTTTAGGTAAGCTAGCATTTCTTAGACTCACTGTATTCACACAGGACGGGGATGAAATGGAAAGGAAAATACATGTTTGGGAATAGGAAAGAGAGGGAGACGAAAAGATAAATGAGTATAGCATAAGACAGCAAAAAGCAGAAAGGTAAGGGAAGGTAAAATGAAGTCTTAGACTTGCTGTGATGAAGAGAAGGAAGGGGGCAGATGGGAGGTAAATAAGGTAAAACGCACATGCCAGCAAAAGAAAGGAAAAGAGATGACGACTACAAACTGATATACTGACAATACTGAGAGTGTTAGGTAAAGAGTAAAGAGAAAGCAGGAGAGGAACTTAAGAGTAAAGGAAGGAAAGGACTTGAACTCCTTTTGTTGGAAAGTAAGAGAAAAGAGTAAGGAGAGAAAAGACAGCTATGCATTATAAAGGGAAATATAGCTGAGGAAGGAAGAACAGAAAAGTAGATTTAATACAGTAAGGAGCAGCAATTAAAGATTAAAGTCTCAGTGCCTCTTCTCTCCAAACCTTTTCTTACCTCTCCGACACACACACACACACACACACACACACACACACACACACACACACACACACACACACACACACACACACACACACACACACACACACACACACACACTTGCTAAAAAGCCAAGTCGGTCATTATTCATTATCATTGTTTCCAAATCATCTCCAGGCCTCTTTTTGCCGCGTCGTGACTTGGTCCTTTACCACCACTCTGAGATGTAATTGTACCTCGCTGTTAAAGTCCTCGGAGTCACGCTGGCTTTGTTAAATTGGTAATTACACAATTGTCACACAGTCTTCATACCAGGTAGAATTTCACCGGGGAAAGAAAACAAAGAATTGCACAGTGTGAGGGGCTCGTGCAAGTGTGCAGTGCAGTGCAAATCAAAATCCAGCAACAACTCCCCTTTTACATAAACACACTATCACAGTTGGTCTCTCTGTAGCATGTACACATGATCCTGTGAGGACTCGCTGCAGATGATTTAAGGACTGAGAGGGAGAATAATGCAGGCACAAGTCTTTCTTCGGTAATAGCTCCCCAGGCTCCCTGCCTCGCAGGGCTTTTATGTGCAGCCAGTCTGTCACTCATTACAGGACATGATGGGCTATATCAACTCGTACCTACTGAGCAGGAGACAATCATCTATGTCTGTCTGTCTTTTTGTCTGTCTGTCTCTCTGTCGGGTCACATTTTTGTGCATGTGCATGAGTCTCACTCTGGCTTGGTTCAGATCACAGAGCACAGATGAATGATAGATGTAGCTGTTCTCTATCTAGGTAGGCAGAAATGATCACACACAGGCAGGAGACCAGAGTTTGAAGTTATCATCTAACTAGCTACAACTAGGTACTTGTTAATTATTGCCAAAGGGGAAAAAAAAACATCAATATCATCAGTGCAATTAACCTCACAGCAAGCCCTGTTATTTGTCAGATAATCACATCAACACTCCAAACAGCACCAGCACCACAAAAGGACAGTCAAGAGGTCCAGCTCAGCTACTCCAGTTAGCTGAGGTAATGTCTAGCAGGCAGCTAGTGGCTCCAGCCACCTGTGCCAGCATCTACTTGTAACCAAGAGGCCCCTTTATCATGCAGGACTTCAATATTTAAATGGGTGACTTACATAGAAATTCACCTGTTACCATGACCAGAACCTTTTTCTTCTTTTGTACTAGGCATAAACATGTTTATTCCTCCTAGCAAGTTGGGCACTTTGATGTGTACCCAGTGGAGATTAACTGGCTTTTGTAGATAGTCTCAAGTGGCCATTTGAGGAACTGGCACTTCATCGTTTGGCTTCATTTTTCAGCCCTGGCAGAAGAGTTAGGGAGGGAGGGAGAAGAGTTAAACTACTGGGCACAATTTCCTCTAGGACTGAAACACAGCTGGTCATTGGGGAAGTCAGCAATTGGAAGTTTTCACTCATTGCTACTCTTCTGTAAACACGGCTGTAATTATTCCATGTTGCCTTGAGATAGCATCTTAGCTGCACACACAGAATACACTCTACAGTATTTTAATTACATGGCAAAGCTTGTTATACTGCAGTTTTGTGTATGTGTGTGTAGTTGTGTTTTGAATTTTGAAAGTTGTCCATTCTGTATAACTGACGCAGTGCTCCACCTGTTGCGTTAGTTGTGGTTTTTCAGAAATTGAAATTTCATTAAAAGGATGTCTTCAAATACTGTAAGAGCACCGTGGCTCACTCAGCCGAGTGAATTGATGACTTGGAGATCTTCCTACATCAGCAGAGTGTGTGTGTGTGTGTGTCTGCATTTGCATGTTTTGTCTCGTTAGCACGTGCACTTTTACATGAGAACTTTCATTAATACACCAGATTTATTCAAAGTTGTAAACTCACCGTACACTTCAGGCACCCTGTTATCCACAGTGTTGTAGGTGACAGGAACAAGGTTGCTCCTTTGTGCATTTATCTGCTTTTATCTTTGTGTTACGGGCATGCATGTGTGTGTGTTTGTGTGTCTGTACACAACTTTTTATAGCCTTGAGTGAGCAGATTTCAAAGGTTTCCTTTGCTCTTTTCTTTTAGGTTATGACTTCTGCGCAGAGGGACTCATTTGTGGGGAAAACTCAGAGTGTAAAAACAGGAATACTAAAGCAGAGTGTGAATGCAAGAGTGGCTATGCCTCCATCCACGGGGATTCTACTTACTGTGAAGGTAGGACCATATTTTTCCCCAGCTCAGGTGAGCTAGGGCCAGCGTGGCTGTCTCATAATGTCTATTAGCACAGGATGTTAAAAGCAGAATGGGTGGCAGCGCGTTGAAGCGTCAAATTCATTGTTCTGTTTTAGGAGGGTGTTTATGAAGGCCGTTGGCTGCAGACTGAGATTTGTTATGAGCTCTGGGTATGACATGATGATGACTGGCTGTAAAGAGAACAAGGATTGTTCGGTTAAAGAGCAGCTATGAACCAGGCTCGGGACTTTGATTATGCTATTGGGGCTGTTGTTAAAATAGATTTTCTTTTTAAACTTATAAGCAATTTGCTTCTTTCATAGGAGTTTGACAATAGAGCTCTGGCACTCCTGTTTTGAGCTTATTGTGATACAGTCAGTATGATTAGAGGGTGGCAATAACAAACACAATAAGATAGCCATGTGCCAACAGTGGTGGAATATGTACTTACAGGAAGTTTTGACACAGCCTTTCAGGATAGTTTCAAGCTTTTGCTAAAACCAAACTTTTTTGGTAAACTTAGCTTGCTGTTGGAAGGATTTTTCCGCCTTACGCTGCATGCTGGGCTTTCCCTGTGAATCACGGCATCCGAGTCTGGAGCCATTGCTTCGCTCATTTTCAGGGGTTTCCAGCCCGTCTGGAAAAAGTCGGTCATCGGGGCGCTTCCACCGCGTGGGTTTTTTCGGTGGAGCAAAAGGCTCAATCTGTGGGTGCTGGAGGCCCAGATTACTTGCGATGGCACTAATGGCCTTATTTGACTGAGAGGCTCGGGAGCGTCAATCTGTGGATTGAAGGATTTGCTCAGCGCTCGGTGAAGTTGTCATTGGGTCGCCGCCACAACAGACTAAATCCACTAAATGTGCTGAGAGCTGTGTAGCCACAAGCCCTCCAGTCTGTCTGCTTTTGTTTGATCTGCATGGTAAAGAGGTTTACCCAGAGCACCACTCAGTCCACAAACCGTCCCACACCGTATGAGGAAAGGCTGGGAAACACTGATTGTTAGATCAACTATGTAAATCGTGGAGCCGTGGCTCTTGGCATTATCCCTGCGATACCCTGAAGGCATCGCAAATTTCTGTTGTTGCTGGATTAATGGGGATCCAGACGTACATCACGGTAATATTTGATTTGGCTTCAATATCACCTCCCAACTTAAACTGGCTTAGATTTACGCCTTTTCCGAGCAGACTGGAGTAATTGAATCTTTATATGTGGGTTATAATCAAAGCACAACAGTGTGATGGTGTGTCCTCACATCCTAATGATTGTTTTATAGAGCATATTAATTTCTCCACTTATATTTTATAAACATGAGATTGTGTCTAGCTGTGGCACTGAGCTGTTATTAAATGTGACCGTTACGTCCTCATAAATGATTTAATGTGCCACTGAATAAGTGAAGATGAGATTATTTACTTGCAAACAGAGGGCTGTTTGAGCAAGGATGAGAGGATTTAAGCAGAGCTGCTTTTCAGCCTTCTGGCTTGCATTCAGTCGCCTATCGTGTCCTTTTTTTTTTTTTAGCTGAAATTGTTGATATTTGGCTCACAACTTTGGATAAACTCTGACTGACTCAGTAAATATTTTGGAGACTTTTACAGGACTTTTTTTTTTTTTTTAACTTGTGTGACTTTTTTCAAATGTTTTCATTTTTATGGTGCACATAAAGGTCAATGAAGTGACCGTCCATGGTTCCTCGATCGTTTAGGGCAGGGGTGTCGAAACTCCAGGCTTTGATGGCCGGTGTACTGCAGGTTTTAGAACACACCTGAATCAGATGATGAGTTCATTACCAGGCCTCTGGAGAACTTAAAGACATGTTGAGGAGGTCATTTAGCCATTTAAATCAGCTGTGTTGGATCAAGGACACATCTAAAACCTGCAGGACACCAGCTCTCGAGGCCTGGAGTTCAACACCTGTGGTTTTAGTTGTTTTTAGACACTTTTCCATAAAGTGTCTAAAAACAACTAAAAACAGTATACATTTAAAAGTCACCATCCAGTGAAAATAACAGTGTCAACAACAGTGTAATGTAGAGCTACTGAAAATAAATGTAGTGATATAGAAGATTTAAATTTATAACAAGACACAAAAAATAGCATTCTATGAATAATAACTACTGATGAGACTTCATGTTTATTTCTTATATGCATTTCAATCAAAAGTAAATAAATTAAAAGTACTGGATTACTAAATTAATTTTAGCACTAGGAATTGCAGTCAAAATAAACACCAGCAGATGCAAATTAAGTATTAATTAGGTTGTAAAACAAACAAAACATCATATTTCACTATTTCTATAAATGGGATCAATTTCTCACTGCATCACTGATATACAAAGGTGTGGCAACATCCAGTACCCTATTTATCACTGCTCTACATTTACAATAGGGTTCTTTAAACACAAGGCTCAGTAGGTGCATCTGGTGCATGCCTAAAAATGAATTTATTATCCCTTGCGCTTTAGGAGAGTAGGGCGTATGATCAAATGTCTAGAAGTCAACACAATCGCCACCTTTCACACAGACCGTTCTCATTCCCAACGTGTATCATACCGACAATTTGTCATGTCCCGAGGCATCTCATAGTCACGCGAAAGGTAACCTTCCGTATCCCTATGACATGCGCCGAATTGTGGATGGAATTCAATAGAATGACGTGCCCAGCAGTAATTCCAGCCCTAATCCTGACCTTAATCCTAACTCTAACATTAACCTTATCCCTAACCTTGACCACAACCTTAACCATATTAGATAGTGTTTTCCAAAGCGATTCATGATGAGAAAGTAAAATAAATGTACATGTCTAGATTCATTCCAAACGGTTCTCTTTTTTCCGAACGCGTAACATACCAACGATTTGTCACGTAGCGTTGGTATGTTACGTTTTGGGATCAGAACGTGTTGCTTTCACAACACTTTTGAACTATGTGCTGTATGGGTTTAATCAACCTACCCCAGTTAGTTTTGATGTTATGACCACAAGTGTTGGAGTAGGAAGGGGTGAAAAACCCAATTTCCCAGATTTAGGAATAACACTGAAATTTGACATGCTCCAGACCATTACTGATTGGTTAGAATAGGTAATGTCACCGACTATCACAAAACCTGATGTTTGCTGATTGGCTGTGGCAAAGGCAAAGCACTCCTCTTTTTGTCTTAGCATTCAATGAAAGGCTATTGTTTGAATCTCTAATTGTGAAGATGAGTTTTTGAGTTTCAACGCAATTCTCATCCATTTCTGGGCAATGCAAGAATCCGGTTTAAAGCTGCTTTTTGAGGTCAGCAAGTTAGCTGCTGCTTTCTTCTGAGAAAGAAAAAAAAAAGTTAGATCTGAACTGAGAAGGGGCAGTTCACAAAAAAAAAAAAGAATAAATTAAGTTCTGTCCTGAGAAGAAAGGGGGATCTCTTTGAATGAAAATGCTTTTTTCAGGCATAGAAGTCAAAGAAGTTGGAGCATATTTTGTGTGTCTCCTTAAGCATGTGTGACACAGACCTGATTTCTAAACCCAGCGAGAATCTAAGCAAAAACAGGAAGGCACCTACTTGGCACATTATGAACATATGTAGAAATGCAAACATGGGCACACCCTGATGATGGTCTGTCCCTGTGTGGCTGTTTATTTTAAAATGTATTACTGCATTCGAAATGATATCTTTCTGCATTAAAGATCCAGGACTACTTGAAAATGTTGCCCTGGGTCTGCTCATTGTTATCTTAAAAACCCTTTACGTTTTCCTTCATTACCTCCATCATCAAGCTCTGACCAGTATGACAACATTACACACGACACCGCTGTTCTCCAGTTTTTGTTTTTATTTTAACCAGAATTGCTCAAAGCATTGTTGCTTTCTGACCTTACAGTATATTTACTGTGTTCGTCTTTATTTTCTGTTGTATACATAATGTTAAAATAGTAGAGTCTCATAGTAAACATTACCAAACCTTCCGATAATGAGTTCAGCATACACTCAAACAACTGATTCTTTGCCATCTTAAATATGAAGCAAGAATTTGGAGTAAACTGAAAAAATATAAAATCAAAGATTTTTATATTTAAATAATGAATCATTAAGCAAATCAAGTATATTTCATTTGACCAGATTCCATGAAGTTTAATGCTTCACATTTTACTCATGTAGCGAAATACATGGAACATTTACATGTAATCAGATGACTTACAGAAAGCCTTTAGGACATTCTTTGACTATATGTACAAGTAATCCCTGTAGAGGCAAAAGCACATGTTTTTTCTCTTCTTGGCTCTGCATGTCATTAAGAGTGGATCGTTATAGAACAGAAGCCCCACCCACCTGCTGCTGCAGCCATCTGTTTAACAGGTGGAGGGCAGGTAAAACAGCTTGTAACAAACACTGGATGCACCGAAGGCCAAGGTCCAGTGTAAATAAACAGGATTTAAAACTGTAAAAATGTGCAAAAATATGAATACTCTATATATAGGAGATATATATATATTCATGAAACTCATTCATCATCATTCATCATGTGTGATTCAGTGGGAACACCATGCTGGAAAACAGCAAAGTAACCTGACAACAAAACAAATGACTAAAATTAAAACAAATAAAAGAAACAATGTTGAAATGATGATGAGTGACATCTCTTTTGATAAGGCCAATTTTAAGGTCACCTCAGTGTCCAGTGGCCACCTAAAACAACCAGAATTTATAGAGCTGATCTTGGAAAAGCAAAATGTGTTTGGCACAAGTATGCATTCATATCATAAATGTGACTGCAAAAGCTATGAGACAGGACAGGAGTTACACAAAAAATTAATAAGAAATAAACTGGTAAGCTGGCTAGAGGCACTGTTGCTGTTTGACACTGGCTTCATGATTGTTACATGTGGCTTAATTTAATTGATTTATCTTAAAACTCAGAAATGTGTGACATAAGCCAATGAAAAATAGGAAAATAAAGAGCACTGAGGATTCCCTCTTCCTGTGTAACAACATATGTA